GATCTGCTGTCCTCACCTCACCACCCCCCTCACCTGTCTGCTTGGCAGCCCTAAGGCCATGGCTCTTGGCCAAACAGGACCAGGGCTAGGGGGATAGTACATAAAGCCACACAGCATGGCATGTTTTCCTAGAGCAAAAATTTAGGGAAAACGGTTATTTTTATATAAAAACAAACACAGAAAAACGGTGGAGTATTGAATCTGCAAGAATCTTGGAGCTGGACTTCCTGAGAGGAGTTTAGGCCACTTGGGCCATCAGGGTGCTGGGGGGGCAGGGGGTCAGGGGGAGAGACTGGTGGCCCTGGGTCGGGAAGCTGGCAGCTGGCCCAGGCTCGGGTCTCTGTGAGGGTCCCTCCCTTCCTGTCCTTTCACCCACTCACCAGCAACCTGCGGCCGTCACGTTGGGTTCACTCGCTTTGCTCCTCTGCAAGGTGGGACAGGAGCCGGTCCGGCAGACCAGGCGCCCCCCTCCCACCCAGCACAGGAAGGGGAAGCCAGGATGTCTCCCTGCCCTGCACTGGCCTCCTGAAGCTTCTGTGGGGAGAAGCTTCCTAGGGCCACCTGCCCATCTTAGCATTTGCACCCAGCATCATGCTGGCGGGGGTGCAGCTTGACTGTGTTCAGTGGCCCACAGGAGGGGACCCTGGGTTTCTCCCATGCCTTCCTGGGACCCGGTGCTTGCCTGCTGGAAGCAGCTTAAAGAAAACAAAGTGCTGAGCTAGGTTTTCTCTGAGGCCTTTTCTGGAGTGGGAACGGGGAGTTCTCCCCACCAGCCACAGGATTGCCCCTCGCTTTGTCAAGGCCCCCATGGCCCTGGACTGGGTTCTCTTCCGGGAGGTGGAAGGGGCACACGTGCTGGGGGTCTCATCCAGTCCTTTCCCAGGACCGCCCGGCCCCACCCTGATCCACACCCCATGCACCCTCCTCTCCTCCGGAGTCCCGTAAACCAGGGGACTAGTCCCACCTCTGCCTGGACTCAGAGCTGCGTGACCTTGTGGAAGTTATTCAACCTCTCTGAGCGGTAGTATGATCCCCGAGGGTGACGGAAGGTAAAAGGGATGCTGTATGGAAGGCTCTTTGCATAGGGCTTGGCAACAGGCCTCTGAAATGTAAAAAGTTTTATGCACGAAGCCCTACACCCTGGGGCCCCACCTGCCCTGACCTGGGACAAGCCCGTGGCTGTCTGAGCGGTGCCATGCGGGCCTGGGATGGCATTCCCTCCATCTCCTGTACAATCGCGGCATTTCCTGCAGTGGCTCGGAGGGACAGACCTGAGGGCAGCAGTCCCCACCGGGGGGAAGGCTGAGCCTGCAACGCCACCTAGGGGCAGCCAGAGTATCTGCACCATTGTGGGGCAGGCCACGCTCCATGCTGCCCCTGGTGGTGGCCGTGGGGAGTGCTCTCCGCCTGCAAATGGGTGGTTGCCTAGGGACCTCCTCCTCCTCCGAGGACGTTTTGGGAAGACGCCTGGCCTCAAGTAGCCACCGATCTCTCCTTATTGCCTGAAATCCTTCACTGGCGGGTCATCCTTATCCTTGTTCCACTCTGTCCCCCATGCTAGAACCTCTGGGGATAGGTCATCACCCCTCTCCTGGGCTGAGCTCCCCCTTATCAGATGTCTTATGCAGTCATGGAACAAAAACCTAGGGAGCGTGGGCTAGGTTTGTAAAAGGAAAGAAGGAAGGAAGGAAGGAAGGAAGGAAGGAAGGA